TTTATATAGCGCTTTTCTAAGCACTCAAAGCGTTTTACATTGTAAGGGGGGATCTCCTCATCCACCACCAGTGTGCAGCGTCCACGTGGATACGCATTTAATATTTAATATGCATTTATTGTGAAATTAATACATTTTAATGTGAATCCATGTTCATTTTTTAACACAAACAATGTGCTTTCAGTTTAAAGGGGTCATATGACGTTGCTAAAAAGAACATTATTTTGTGTATTTGGTGTAATGCAATGTGTTTGTGGTTTAAGGTTAAAAAACACATTATTTTCCACATAATGTACATTATTGTTTCTCCTCTATGCCCCGCCTTTCTGAGATGCGTCGATTTTTACAATCTTTATGACATGGCGGCGGAAACAACAAAACTACATCGAGAATAAAAGTTACGCCTTCTTTTTTTGCGTGAACATTTGGGCGGCGTTATGTAAATCTTCCCACATCGTGATGTAGATATGTGGGGGCGTGTTAGAATGAGCCGTTTTAGGAAGGCGTGGTTGACTCTTAACTTTTATAAAGAATATCTCTTTGGATTGGAGACTTTAGTCTTTGCAACTTTACAGATCTTCTTTATGCACCAAGAGCTTGTAACACTCCAAAGAGAAAGGAAAAATTGAAATTGCATCATATGACCCCTTTAAGAGACTTGCGTTTTAGACACTACAGCACTGTTTTGCATCTGTTTTGACGTTGTGAAACGTCCTGAATGAATCAACCGTTTAAATGATTCGGTTCAATCGCAATGACTCACTTATTAACAGTGACTTGCTGCCACCTACTTGCGATTTTAATTTCACATTTAAGGTACCTTTTCATTTTTTTAAATAATTTCAAACATCAGTTTTCAATGTTTTATGTTTAAAATATCAAAACATTATTATTTAGCTATGCATTTGTAACTGCAGGTTAAAGTATTCCATGTCCCTCAGCTTCTGTGTTTCCTCTGTATTGCAAAGATCAATTTTGTTGATACTGATTTCATTTGCTTGGTAACAGCCCAAATGCAAGAATTTGACTCAAAAGATAGTGCACACTTTTAGAAAAAATGGCTTAAAGGTACAAATGCCCATAAAACTTATTGGAAAAGATTAATTTCCATCACTGCTCTGAACTGACAACACAGAATATGAAGAATATAAAAAAATTCAGGAGTCAGCTGTCCACAGTAGTCCTTAAGATATCAGCACAATAACACACTCAGCAAAATATCGTCTAATTATCGTTATCGATAAAATTCCAGAAATTTATCGAGATATAATTTTTTTGTCAATATTGCACACCCCTAATTTCTTGTTTAATTTATATAATAATTTATTGATAATAATTGTTTAAATTAATATAATTAATACTTTTGACTCATCCATTTTCTTAAAATTGGTTTAAAGGCTGAAATGTAAAGTTTATAATTTTTGTGTTTCATCATTTTCTGTTTATGTGAAAACTTGTATCTGAACTGTAAATTATGCTTTTTACAGTAATGTTACGGTTTAATATGGTACTATAGACATTGCCCTACCCCGCTCATATGGTATTCATTTTATTTGTGAAGGTCTTAAAAAAAGGTCTTAAAGTCTTAAATTTGAGCTTAAAAATCCTGCAGAAACCCTGATTGAGAACCACTAAAGTTATTGTATTTTTTACTTTGATTTTGTCAATGAAAAAAAAAAGGAAACTGAAATGCATAGAAAGCCCATTCCACATTTTTCAGTTGGAGCAAATGGAGATCTTCCTCTTGTGGTTTAGTTTGAATGTGTAGTTTGGTTTGTTTGCAGGACTCTGCTGTGAAAAGACCGCAGAGGTCATTTGGCAGGTCAGAAAGGAAAATGCTAGTTATAACTCACCAAACCTAATTTCTAACCCAGAGATATGTGAAACTACAATATCAGACTAAAAATGTGGTCAGTACTGAACAATGAAAATCTCTTAGGCTACATATTTCCTCTCGGGAACTAAGAGGCTATCTGATTCAATTTTACAAGCAAACATTTCATTATTTGAATCTGGGATTAATTCCCTGAGTTAATTTCTTCCAGCGGTACATGGCAGCAGTTTCTCTGTGTAGATTTTTGTCAGAAGCTTTTGTCTGCTTTGTTTATTTCTCATTCTTTTGGATGCACATTAGACTTGATGATGCATCCTAATTCACATGCTACCCTTACTATAATTGACTAATCATTCTTTAAAAAGCCCTGTATAATTTGGGGTTTGGACTTCATCTTCAGTTGATCAGAAGCATTTCTTAGGGGTTGTGTATGTAAGACTTGAACAGCTTGACAACAAAAACAAAAGAAGATATTTTGAAGAATATTGTTAACCAAACAGCTGACGGTACCCATTGACTTCTATCGTATGAAAAAAGTTAGCAGACACAGTAGTTTATAGATATTAATAATTTTTTACAAAATAAATAAAGACTCATGTTGTTCATGATGTTGTTTGAACATCAGTAACCAAAAGGGGGTGGAGCTATCAAATGGTCATTGTGCATAGTAAACGTATGCAAATTGTGCTGCAGCCTTCATTTGCAAACTTGCAGTATGACATTATTTCTTGAAACACTTTAACTTTACTGAAGAGGCTTTGCCCAGTCAACACCGGAGTCTAATCTAAGAGTTAAGTGTTTTAAAATCTTGCTTCTGGTTACAGAAAGATTCATTGTTGCTTCGCTGGTTCTTCTAGTTATGCAGTAATTTTGGCCATTGTGTTGGTTAATATAAAGAGACATTCTTTTCATTTGGCTTTAATGAATTGGAGTAGGTTCACACCTGATGAGAATATTTGTTCAAATGTTTCAGTGTGTGTTTAGCAGTGGTCTGGTTTCCTCTTCACCACTGCTTATTTTTCCAACTTTAAAATATAGCCTAGTAAAGCCTACTGCCACATAAAACTCCATGCTTTCGCCTAAATATGAGCTACTGATAATGAAATCTGCTCAAACACAGTTTTATCCAGGCTGGTTCCAGAATTAAATAATTAGGGTGCTTCAGAAATTAGAGAGTGTGCTCGAACATTTTTTGTCCCGTCCATTGCTCTTTCGAGTGTGAATCCCGCATTAATATGGAGGATTTCATTCCCAATTTTCAGCGTGTATATGGCTGAAAAACAAATGTTTTATACAAATTTTGAATGGATTAGCACACAAAGAGCGCTCCCTTTATAATCACTAAAAAGCTGTCACTTGGATCACAACACTGGATCAGTTTTACTCAAGTTAATGGTAAATATCTGCTTTATTACAATGTGCAGTAGGACTGGATAATAAGACTTAATAACTTAATTTTTTAAACCTTTGATTTACAGACGCACCGATCGATCGGCCAGGGATCGGAATCGGCCGATTTTCCTCATCAGTCTCACTTCTTTCCGATTCCGAGCCGATCCGTTTGTCTTTGATCTTGAAATGAGCTGATAATTAATAAAATGCAACGCTTATCTTTTGATTTCGTTGACGTGAACTCTAAATTTAAATATAACACGGGAATTGAAGATCGGATTTATATCAGTTTTGCGACGACACATTTATGTAGCCAAGTGTAAATGGAAACGTTTTAACAAATCCGATAGATATCCGATTAGCGAAAACGCATGAAATGACCAGGTGTGAACAGGCCCTATCAGTCTCACTTCTTTCCGATTTCGAGCCGATCGGTTTTGTTACCAGCGGCACAGGCAATAACGTCAGCTGCGCATTCTTGCTCTCTTCTCTCTGACGACCCCTTCTCTCACACAAACGTCTCATTCGCTCTGGTTAAATGCTTGTGTTGCGCATTATTTTAGTCATTCCCGCAGGTTTCGCGCTTACACCAGAACTGATCAATATTAGTGGAGCGCACACAAGCCGCACTCAGTCTCAAACAGCTTGTGAGCCACAAATACCAAATTACTGACTTTTTACTTGTTTTTTTATGAAAATAAAACTTTGCGTTGAAGAAAAGTAGATTTTTCTTTGTATATGCTGTCAATTATAGTTCTTAGAAAATCGGAATCTGCAAAAATCGGTATCGGCAGATCACACTAACAAAAAAAATCTAAAATCGGAATCGGCCAAGAAAAGTGCAATCGGTGCATCTCTACTTTGATTATATTATGCACAGCCCTAGTTTGAGAGTTACAATATGTGCCATGTCCTTGTTAATTTATTTGACCGTCTTTTAGTCCACTGTCCAAATGTCAAAAAAATCTAGTGGTCAGTGCTGTGATATGATTTCCTCCTGTTGTGCACACACACACACACACACACACACACACATTAAATGCTTGTGTTGCGCATTATTTTAGTCATTCCCGCAGGTTTCGCGCTTATACCAAACGCGCACGCTCCACCACTGATCTATATTAGTGGAGCGCACAAGCCACGCTCAGTCTCAAACAGCTTGTGAGCCACAAATACCAAAATGAGTGGCTAACTGCGCTAAAACGTTCAAATACATACAAAATTGTCAAAATGCCCATCTTGGCAAGTACCCAGTTAAACACAGTCCGTTTTGGAACGTTAAATAGTTGAGAAAGAGAACGCATGTTGTGTAACATGGGCCTGTTTACACCTGGTCACTTCATGCGTTTTTTTCTGATCGGATAGTAAATGCATCTGGTTGTTGAAACCACATATGTAAATTTTATTCCTCCCAAAATGATAAAATAATATTAATAAAATGCAACGCTTATCTTTTGATTTCGTTGACGTGAACTCTAAATTTAAATATAACACGGGAATTGAAGATCGGATTTATATCAGTTTTGCGACGACACATTTCACACACACACACACACACACACACACACGTCACCCATAACAAGGCAGAGCTGCTTTGAATGAGTTTTCTGCCCTGGTGTCTGATGAGAGTCATGTGAAATGTTGATTTATTTATTTTTTTTTCAGAATGGATAGAAACTAACCAGGCAAACATTGTTTGTGATAAATGCGATCGGGGTCTTCATAGAGGCTTCTGCTGTTGTTCTGAGTTAAATGCCTCCGTGTTCTCCCACAGGTGTGAGCTGTGATGCATGTTTAAAAGGGAACTTCAGAGGGCGCCGATACAAGTGTTTAATTTGCTACGACTACGACCTTTGTGCATCTTGCTACGAAAGTGGAGCCACAACAACTAGACACACCACGGAGCACCCAATGCAGTGCATACTAACCAGGGTAGACTTTGGTAAGCTGTGATGTCCAATAATGACATACTTTTCACTCTTTATCACTTAATTTTTTAAATGGCTCAACTGCTCTGTTGTATGTATGTATATGTATGTATACTTTGCAGGCGACTTGTCAAAATAAAAGCTTGATGGTTGAACGTTTAAAAACGGAAGAAATTAAGACTTAAATATTAGTATTATAATTTTATGTGATGTATTTAATTATATATAATCCTTAAAAAAAATTTTATTAAAAAAAATTTTTTTTACATTTTCAGAAGTTACGGCATTACAATATATGATTTAATATATTTTGTAATAGTAATCACAATAAATTCACTATTATTATTATGTTGTAGTTCTAATATGTTATAGGATTGGTCAAAAACAGTGGGAATGTGCCCTCTAGGGCTGTCAAAAAAAATGTGAATTTCGAATATTCGTCGATTTTAAAATAAAAATACACATTAGAATGCAAAAACGTTGCGAATAGTTGTGCGTTAAGGAGGCAGCCTTATCAGTGGCACACGAGATGCGATGATGTAAGTGTCATTGCATTTTAATGTTTTTGTTAGCCTATCCAGTTGAACCCACTAGATGCGGCGCTGCTGCGTTAATGACAAATATTGCGGGAAAAGAGAACATCAATGCAGAGAAGAAGATCTTGTTTACATCAAAACTGAAACCAAGCCGTTCACACAGGACACGTATTTCGGTCATTTTCTAGAGGGACATCTATTACTGTTGCACTCTCGTCTCGCACAAAAGAGCCGTATGTTTAGAAAGAAATTAAAATTTAAATTAATGCAAGTTCAACTTTGAAAAAACATATCTCGAGCCTTTATGGCGGGGTTTTTTCCCCATCCCACTGCAACTCATGAAAAATGTACTCTGTGTGATTGGCTTTCGGCCCTTTGTATTAAACTATGCATACATACATGATGCTGTTTTGTTTATAGTTGTTTAAGCAACTTAATTA